CACAGACGTGCCGTCGCCTATCTCTATCTTTTTTTACAAATACTTTCATGGTAATTGCTCCAATGAGCTTCTTTTGCTGGTTCCCAGATTCATGAATTCAAGCATCCTACGAGGCTGGCATCCCGCTCTCACCTTTTCACTGTTGAAACTGTTAAATGTCGCCGTCTCTTCTACTTCAATAGCTTCATATCTCACACATCTCGTCTGTGGAATTCCCTTCCCTTTTCCTGTTTCCCTGATAGCTATAATCTCCATCTATTCAAATGTAATGTCAATCGACATCTACAGTTGCCATGATCTATCCACTGTCCTTCTCCTCATCCTTTCCTCTATCACTTCTATCTGCTCTCGCTCCTAGTCCTCTGTAACCCCTTGCGTGATAGTGGCTTCCCGCCTTGGTTGGGGTGAAATGCTTAAAGACAAAAAAAAAGCTTGCATCCACCTTCAACAGTATCTTTCATGATGGTTTTGCAGAGGCTGTGATGCCGTGAACCATGCCTAAGCTATGATATCTTCCTACGCTTAATAGTGGAGAGGGGAGATCCCTGTCGCCCTAGGAGGGTCTTGTCCTTGCTCCTTAAATAGACATTGATTTTTTACACACGGAGATATGGAGGAGCTTTCTCGGGCATTTGTTCTTGAACGGTTGAATCAATTTTCCTGGCTCAGTCAAGAGTGTCCATGTCTCACACCCGTACAGGTGGATGAATACGATCAACGATTTGTAGAGCTTAGTGCTCTTCCATATCATTTCCCGTCTGAAAATCTCTGCTGTGGCTATGGTGATCTGTGTGGGGTTTTCTTCATTACAGCTACCATTTTGAACAGGGCTGCTCCCATGTATCTGAGCATTTCCAGTGGTTCGCCATATATGGTTGCTTTTTCTATTTACCATTACTTTGTATCTATCTGTGTTCATTTCTGTTCCATGTGTAGCCCTCTTTCAACGTATTTGTTGATCAGGTTTTGCAGCTCTCTGTTACTGACTGCCATAGCGTGAATATCGTCTCGCGAAAGGCAGATTGCAGAAAGGTCTAACAGAATTGTTATGGTCGTTTTCCTGCATAATTCTGTCCAGAAACAGATTGAAGAACGTTAAAGAGGATAGGCAAGTTTGTCTAAGACCTAAAATCGGCTAGAAACAGTGCCCCACTTAGTCACTCAAGAGAACTACACGTTATAAAGGACATTTTATATAACATTATGAAACTGAAACGTGGTCTTACCCTGCCTGGTTTTAAAGAATTTTAATCGTTCAAAAATTTAGCCGAATTTTTACCATCAATTGCCTGGTGCATATATATAACGGTATCTTGCCTTTCTGTATAGAATAGACTCGCTCTTGATGCAGAAATTAAGCTAATTATACGGGAAAAACCATAATAACTTAATGGGGTAATCAAACGGTATTTGTTTAGTTCAATGATCAAAATGTATTGTAAAAGAACAACAAAATATTGTTTCAAAATTTCTTTGATATTTTATACATTTATGTACACACACTCTCTCTCTCTCTCTCTCTATATATATATATATATATATATATATATATAAATGACGTCACACATTATGAAATGGAGAAAGTCCGACAATTATTTTTATATATATCATGCAGTTTTTATAATAAACAGTGTTAAACAACATTTACCGGTCTGAATGTCCGAGAAATTTTAATAGAAAATTTTCGTCCTCCGACAGAAATCAAACCTGTATCCTATACAGAACTGTCATATAGCCTGACGTGCCTTCATCGTTTCGCCTACAGAGGAGCGTTCGGTTTATGGACAGTAAAATCGACCTTGCTTTTATAAAAACAGAGCATTTACTTTGTATCTATAAAAAGAATGTATAAACATAAAAAATATCTTAAAATGTATATATATATATATATATATATATATATATATATATATATATATATATATATATAAGCGTGTGTGTCTGTGTATGTATATATATTCAAATTATTACTACTAGCACTTATAGTGAAGAAAACGTTGACTTATCTCGTCAAACCACGCGACGGAAAATGTGGCGAAAATGAAAATTACTTATTCCGCGTAACATGCTGAAGACGGACTATTTAAATTAAAAAAACAAGTCCGTCGCAGGAGTCACCATAAAAGTATTTTGATATGCAAAAATTGAGCGTCCTTTCCCAGTTGTCGACGTATGTAAAAAATACCCGGCCGATAAAATCAGCAATTCGGGTATTTTGGCTACCGGGTTTGTTGGACAGTGAGGTATTTTTCTGACTGGTTGCCTGCATTGTGAGATAGCAACTGCGAATCGAGTTTTCGGCATTTCTTTCTGCCCCCGATGTTATGTCTGAACTTAGTAATTTATGCTCTGCGTTGTGGAAGTAATCAGCGACAAATATTTCCTTTGCAATCCCAGATCGCTTACAGTACTTGAAACGATACTTTAGTGGATAGCCATACTTGAGGCTGTTCCATCGTGGTTTAGTCTGCTCGATCAAAGATGACGATTTCTCCTTCGAAAAGGGTCACTGGTTCGATCCCTGCTAGTGAGCACATTTTCTTTAGTAAGTCTCTGGAGTGTTACAACCTTTAAACTTAATTCACTGTAGCGGGAAATTATATAGAGAGCGTCTAATCAAACATCGGTGTCCATTAAGATAACGCTTGTTGTAACATAAGTAATATATATATATATATATATATATATATATACAAATATAGATAACTATACTCGTTTCGAAAAACCCTCGAAGTTTTGATTTGCCAATAATCAAATGAATATGATATATATATATATATATATATATATATATATACTTCTTTATAAGATATTACATTCAAACATATAGATAAATGCGACATAAATGCACTCATATTTCAAAGTGCATCAACACATCTCATCAGGCGCTAGTAAATGACTGATTAGTACAATTTATTAGTATTTCAATCACATGCAACCTCTTTTCACCCGAAGGAAACAAAGAAAAGAAAAAGGGCAAGGAAGAAATAATCAAGATATAATATCTTTTCCAGAGAAAAGGAAGAAGAGAATAAAAGAAAAAGGGTAGGAAAGCAGAGAGAGTGGGAAGCAACAGGACTTGTTATGATTATAAAGTGTTCAACCAATAAAAAATGGCCATATCCTTAGTAAGAGGTCATGAACCACAGATTTAAAGTTGTAGCGAATTTGGACGTTATATTTGAAACAAATTTAAGATTGCTACAATGTTAACGTAAGACACCTAGCATTTCCTATAAGAAAGAACACGTAATTTAACAATACACTAAACAAACGACTTACCCTGTGAGTTAGAAATTAAAATTTCACAATTTTATAGTAGATAAATAATACAACTCTTTAAGAAATAAATGAAAAAAGGAAACCAAATTATTAAACAAAATAACAAAATTCTAAGGTTCAAACAATATATCAAATTAAATGAATGGATTAAACACAAACGATTAGCATATAGATCATATAAATCAATTAAATAAATAATTAAAATATATCTACCATACCCAATAGAATGCAAAAGGATTATACACATTACCAGTAATGTTAGAAGAATAATGTACAAACTATACCACATCGAAATAGATCTGACTAGGATAAGCTTTACAACAACAAGGTTATTCAATATATAAGAAGAAGCCATTGTCAAATTTCAAAGTGAAGCAAGATTGCAGGGTCAAAGGTAAAATATGTTTACAATTGACCGTTAATTCAAATCTTTGATTTAATCAGTCCTGCCTATTTAAAAATTTTATTATCTGCATTTTCATCTGTAAACATAGAAAACAATGTTCGTATAAGGATCTAAAATTTCTGCCAGTTTTAAATTTTTCATTTAACTTTAGAGTTTTTATTTTCTTCTTTCAACTTATAAAATATTTTGAAGGTGAAGTATTATTTCTATAAGTAACATCAGTAAAAGAAGATAAGAGCTAATACCACTTGGTTTGACAGAATTCTTGGTACTGCCAATATAAAACTTTTCAACACTCGGATTTTCTATTGTAGAGATAGAACACAGATATGAAAGGGATTCAGGTAAGCATTTGTTTGACAATGGGGATTAGTTAGAATGCTTACAAGTGCATTGTCACTCTCCTTACAATATTTGTATTAGTGCTTGCATTATGGGTAAAATTATTAAATTTGTACTATATATATATATATATATATATCGTCGGCTTTACCTCGTATCCAATAATTTAATTCATTCTTTGTTGATCGCTTTTTTTATGATGATGGCGTTGATGACTAAATTCACACCCAACGCGCCTTCCAGTTTCAGAAAAACATACTCCTATCATTCTTTCTCTTCCACCGTTAAGTTTGTAAGATTGAGTTGAATGTGATAGAAAATCAGAGTGGAGGAAAGTGCCGATGGCATGAATTTATTTAAAGTGGATATCAACTTCCCAGCAAGTGGCCCACACATTTGATTTAATGACCTTGATTTAATGAGACAAGTAGTATCCATTCATGAAACTGCAACGTACTACCGCTGACTGTTATAATTTCAGGTGGCGCCTTCTATATTATGTCCGCAATGCATAGCAGCCGTCGTCATCAGCTTGTTCCATAGTTAGGGTCTTTGAAGTTGGTTGCTCTTATATATATATATATATATATATATATATATATATACGAGTTTTATTAAATTCAGTCGACAAGGTCAGTCTGTTTAACATTTTATTGTTTTATTGTTGATAGCTTGGCTGTTTTTTTTTTTCTTACTGCCATATCAATCTCTATGAGTTATTTAATGCGGGAAAGTAAATGTTTTTTACCCGTTTTTGGGGGGTTTTTTTTGTTTTTTTTTTTTACTTGTGATAACAGTGCTTTTAAATCATACTAATTAACTCATAAATATTGGGGAGAAGAGGTTAATTTCCAGCTTTCTCAATCGTATTTGCTCGTAAATAAATATAACGCAACTAACTGAAATTGGAACTCGTTTCGCCAATTAACAATTCGAGTCCTTTTTCTTTACAGCACTCTGCATCCAATTTTACAGTACCTGGTATTCCCAAGCGGTTATCTATCGACGTACAAACCAGGCTTAACATTGTTTAACTTCGGTGATCGTTCGAGAAGCGTTGTTTCAACGGGATATGGCCGTACTGCACTTTTATTGTACTTTTCCAAATATCATGATGCATATCAGGATGGACATTCTGGATAAACTGTCCGAAGTTGATGAAAAAAAGGAAAAAAAATCCCTTGATTTCTCGTCTACTACGATCTTCACAAATTGAAATGCAATATTAGTCGCCCTTTTCTGACTATTGTAGTCGTAATAGTGTTATTCCGTTATACAATTAGTGGAATTATCCTTGTAATTTGGAGTGAAATGATTTTCTTTTTAAAGCGTTCTTTCCTTAATTGTTTAATCGAGAATTTCCCCGAAAAGCACAGAATTGCAAAATGGTGACAATCGTTAAATGTGAAATACCGATACGATATCCCACGCTATGATCAATTGAGAAAAGATTATAGTTATTATTTCCAGCATCATGTTTGATAGAATATTGTTTCAGGTTTTCGTATTTTAACTAAAGACAGAAATTGTCTGCTATTGTTAGAATTGGTGATTAACAATTTCTACAAAAAATAATGGTTGGCAATTGAATGACAAATGAATAGAACTTCGTCACGTTTTGTTCTTCAATAAAACTTATATAATATAATGATTTTACAGGTTGTCAAATAACTTACACATATATTTGGGGAAGTAGCCAAAATAAACAGTATAATCTACTGACTTTCAGCTTCTTACGAATTTTGTTTTTATTACTATTTTTGTTGTTTTCAATTATCACGAATTCTTCCTTTCTCGTCACATATATACAGAGTGTGATGGGGAAATTGTCGCCATTTTATATTTTTAATTTGGCGCATGCGCGTTGTTCATTTTTTTTATTTTGTTGACTGCACAGTATAGTAGGGTCAGTTGGGCACCATAATAAAAGCACCATAATGCAATTCACTTCGCCAGAAATTTGGAAACGACATACTGTACTTCTTGGCATTCGCAAGAGTAATTTAATTGTGAAAATTTCTATGTGTTTGGCTGCCAATCTGAAGACAGTGCAGTGGTTTCGGAAAGACTTAGATGAATCTAATGTGAATTACACGGAGGCTTACATTACGTGTACTGGGGAGGTAGTACTTCACTGGGTCAATCTGATGGCGGGTGGATGACCCTCTGTATTCGGAAAGAGCTGGCTTAGTGTAATGGTGATTAACAAGCTGTTTGGAGGGTTCATTAGTGATGACGAGGTTATGCCTCCATTCATCTTCTCACATGGCCTCAGATTCAACATGGAGACCTACATCAAGTGCCTTGAGGAGATAGTGCTGCCCTTGGTTAATAGGGTGCCTGCTGGAAGACCCTGGCAAGGGGACTCTGCACCCTACCAACAAAGCAGGAGAACTCGGTCATGGCGCTCAGGCAATTTCTGCGACGAAATCACATCTGGCCACTTAACTCTCCAGACTGCAAACCCCTTGAATATTATGTGTGGGGCGTAGTTGAGCGAAAAACAAACAAAACTCCTTGTAACACCAAAGACTAACTGACGGTAAGAATTATGACAGCATTCACCACCTTAAACATTAAGACCATCCAGGAGAGTTGCAGAAGATTCAGAAGTCGTGTATAGGCATTGGTTGAAGCCAACTGCGATTTTATTAAAAAAAAATTACTTCAGTGTTTCAAAATATCTTTATGTAATTTTGGTAAATATATTTGTTAAAATGAGATGTCAGTATTATTTCCTTTTTTGAATCATTTAGACGATAATTTATCCATCGCAATATATGTATATATGTGTGTGTGGGTGTGTGTGGGGGGGTGCGTGTGTGTGGGGGGTGCGTGTGTTTGTATGTATGTATATATCAAACATGTGGTGCGGTTTAATTTATATTACAATGACTCATTGACACAAAAAGTAAATTAATAAAGTTAATGATATAAAATGGCGAAACCCCTTCGCTAGCAAAATTTTAAAAACGCATTAATCTACTAATCACTCGATGAATGTTATGATTATTGTTTTTTTTGTTTGTTTGTTTGTTTTTAAATTATAAGATGTATGAAGTCTTTTTTAAACACGCAAGTTCTTTCGACTGTACCTTCAGTCATCTTCAGGCATGGAAATTATTTTGTTTTTGGTAAAAAGTCAGGTAGCATCCGAGACGAAAAAATATAATCCGAATCGAAATACGTTTTTTTTTAATGGATATAAACTCAGGGAGCGTGCAGTCGCAACTCTAAGTTTCATTTTTTTTTTTTGATTATTTAAGGGAGTGCGTTTTTTTACAAATATTGCAATTTGATAATTTTTTTCTAGGAGTTTATCAGTCAATGTGGCACGAACTTTTAGTATGAATGATTCATTTGTAATATATATATATATATATATATATATATATATATATATATATATATAAAGTGAACATAAAGTCAACACTTAGAGGCGACAGTCTGTTTCATGCTACATGAATTGCATTTAGCATGAAACAGAGTGTCGCCTCTAAGTGTTGACTTTGCGTTCACTTTTATATTTACACACGCTCTATCTCTGATATTGAGCACTTTATCCCATAAATATGGCACATCTTAATACTATATTTCTTCATATATATATATATATATATATATATATATATATATATATATATATATATATATATACCAATTCCTTTTCATTTGTCATGCATAATAAAATTTAAAACGAAAACAATATCAAAGAAATCACGTAAAGTCTGTGTCGTTTTGTCTCAGATGTGATTCTCTGAAAGATTATATCTATTTTACCTTGTTGGTTGCTTCTTTTTTATGCAATTGAGCTCGACAAACTAAATACGTTAAAGTTCTTCAACTGTGACTGTTTATTTATTTATTTACAAGCAATGATTTTTGCTAATTTGAGAATAGCTGTTATCACCTAAAATAATTTAATGTTTTCTTATGTGTCATGTCTCTTTAGAATTTAGCCAATCGGAACTCTCCACAGATAACCTTTCTTTATTACCTGCGAATTGACATACATTATTTGGAAAAATACTGAAGTGTTTTCCTGTTGTAATTTTTTTATATATCCATCACACTCTGTATGTCTTCATCAACAAATACATACATACATACATATATATATATATATATATATATATATATATATATATATATATATATATATATATATATATATATATATATATATAGTTAAGTTATCACTTCCGTTAAGGTAACCGTTTAAATAAGTCTGATCACTCCTCCTCCCCAAATACAAAAGTATGATTGAGAGAGATATTAAATTAAACCCTCCTAAACTTTACCATGTCTCTAACTACTCCTATTACACTCTCTGTTAAATTACAAAAACTTGCACGACCCATAATTTCCATTTCATTTTCGTTTCATTTTTGGAAGTGCTATCTGATGATCCGGAGTTCTTTAAAGGGCTCTGATGAAATAAATTATTATAATGGAACCTTAAAGTGGTCTGTTTTTCTTTAATATATATATATATATATATATATATATATATATATATATATATATATAATCCAGATATGTTGTTTTGAAGAAGTAAATATATTACATTGTTTTCTTTTCCATTTTATCATTAGCTTATTTTGTATTTATTCTGTTTGGGTAAAATTAATCAAGGCAACTTTGCATCCCGACTCATGTAATAATATCCGATCAACCAGAGTGGATCAAAGCAAGAGACCTTATCAACATTAAATCATTGTCGAACTGCTACGAGAATTCCGTTTACTTCTGAGCTACTTGAGAACCTTGGACAGTTATGAAGGGCGTGAATGCATAAAACCAATTCTAGAAAGCAGGTGATGTCAGGAAGTGTCATTCCAATGACCTTGAGAAGGAATCCTCGCCTTATATCTGTCTTAAAAGCAAATCTGTTAAGATATATCGTTCTATCAAAGGACGAAGATGACAAATTTTACAACATGATCAGTGAGTCAAAAATGGTGGAATTTGAAGCCATCCTCAAATCAGCGACTTACGAATGTTTTGGCAGATGTCATTATTGAAAGATCGATTGATCTTGCCTGTTATTATTACCATCTCCTACGTGTCCATCTACAGGTGTGTCAGTAGATAGCATTATGACTTGACGTTCTAAATTCTGAAACATGGCACTGGACATTTGATTTGTAGCCTCTTGTAACCGATCCAACTTGTACAGGAAAATGGCTGTCGAAATTCATCAACTGAAACTGACATCGTAAAACCACTGCGGCGCAAAATTACACACCCATCCTGCAGAAAGAATATACTGTCTTTTGTTTCGGCTTTTGGTGATGATTCTTTTTCTATGAGTCATGTCAATTAAGGACATAAGAGAAAATGGCTCACTACAACATCCTATCTTAAATGGATGTTAGTAATTTTTATCACTTTGCATAGGCACCCTCCCATTCCGCCATCCGTTTATAATGCTAGATTAAAATTGAATAGTTTCAATAGATCTGAAAAAATAATAATTAAAGCCGACACAATAAGGAAATTTATAAAACCGACGTAGATGTGTATTCTTTCTTTTTCTGTGCCCTGTCCTTTCAGGAGGTAGACGATCATGGCTCTTGGCTTCCCTCTATCCCTTGCAGTTCTCAACAAGTTTCTTTCCTCTGCTTCCTACCCCAGACCACGTTCTGTCATCCTCATACTTAAATGCGCCAGATATGTCACGCGTTGTTTTCCCTTGTCTTTCTTTTCCTCTATTCAACCTTTGAGTATCCGATTCTCCAGGCACTCCTTCCTCATTATGTGTCGCAGAAACTTCAGCTGCCTCTTCTTGACATTATAAAATACTACCAGCATCGTATATTCATAATATCAATGTGGAGACAAAAGAAATCACGTGTAGGCTGGAATTAGCAACAAGGTCCATTCATTATACGGCAAGCAAGCTTTCCCGACATTCTTTCATTTATGTGCGATGTCCTTTCAGGGTGTAGACGATCACGGCTCTCCACCTCTTCCTCTATCCCTTGCAGCTCTAAACAAGTCCCTTCCCTCTGCTATCTCCCCAAGACCACGTTCTATCATCCACTTGCTTAACTCCTCCAGGTATGTCACGCGTTGTT